TCTCATACCCGACATCCAGTTCATCAGGTCCACTGCCTTCCACTGTGCTCAGAGGAAGCCAACCCTTCTAACTCCCTTCACTATGGCCACCCCAGCTCCAGTCACCATCGCTTACAGTCTGCTTTCAACACACCAGCCACACTGATTTTCTACACACAAAATTCAACCACGTACCAAGGCCAAAGCCTTCTAGTGGCTCCCTAGAGTGAAAGCCAAAGCCCTTCAGTGGCCTGCAAGACCTGCATGAGCTGACCTCCATCACCTCTGGTCCACACTCACTTCCCCCCAGGTACACCAGCATCCTTGCTGTTTACCGGCACACCAGCCCCCATTCTGGCCTGTGGCTGGTAGTGGCTGTTCTCTCTTACCCAGAACCTGTATGGCTGGTCTTTCCCTCCTTTCAGTGTCTGCCCTCCTTCCAGGAGACTGCCCTGACCACTATAATTAAAATTTAGGTGAGAAGACAGAAACTTACATGTTCAATTTTGGGTATCCACTGGCTGTTGGAAAGGAAAGAGATGCATAAACGAGACTTGAGTTGTTTCAGATCCATTGTCCTTTGTAAATATAGGGGATTATAGAATCATCCTCTGGACAGATATAATGCCTCCACAGGTTCTGGGCCAAGTGCATTTTGTTGTAGCCACCTCTGAGGCGCCACATCTTCTGCAGGGTTAGGTATACCTGTTGGTCATTTAGTACCATGCATGTGAAACATATGCATGTTGTAGCATAGCATGCAGTTGGTTCTTCTGATTATAACTTTCACACCAATCATTGAGAATCGATTGGGTACAAGATTTTAAAGGTGTTAGAGCATGCAGAGAGATTCCCTTTCCTCTCCGGGCCCCTGTGCACAGTTATCTTCCCTAAGAGTGTAGATGTCTGATAATTCCTGACCACTGGGGATTTGGAATTGTATCCCAGTGGTTTTCAAGCTGTACATCCAAAGCCCAGCATAGTGGTTGACACGTAGTAGGTTTTCAACAAATACCTGCTGAGTGATTAGAGGAGTGATTGATTATTAAAGATCAGTTGATGTGTTTCATCCACATAGAATGGCCAGTGCAGTTCATCATTCATCTAGGCAACCTCATTATCAGTGTTTCCTGAGAATCCCAGTGAACGGATTCAACAATATTTGCTGAATATTTGCTCCATTCTGGGCCATAACCATGTGTCAGATGGGATCTTTGCCCAAGAGAAGTGGCACACAGACTTGGTGGTGGTGGTGGCTGGTGGGGGCCGTTGGTGGGGGCTCTAGGAACTGTGGCCTCAGTCCCATTGGATTGGTGGAAGATGCTGATAGCGATGTGTTACAGTGTTGGGAGAACAATGAACAGGGACAAATTAAATCTCGTCGGGGGAGGGGAATCAGTCAATTCTCCCGAGAGGAAGTGATTTTCAGGTTGCAGTGGGGGAGGGAAAAGGCAAGATCCTAATTATTCTGCTATGGATATATGCTGGGGTGGGTCCGTAGTGGGCTTGGCTGGCTGAGGTGCCATCTTGGACGTGCCTACTCCGAGATGGTGGCCCCAGTGTCCTCATAGAGCTGGGGGCACCACAAGCCCCCATGTTTGTGGTGACACTTCAGCCTCCCTGAGTCTCTGGCTCAGCTCCCTTATCACAGAAAGGCATTTTATTCTTAGAGATCAGGCAGCCAGGACCCAAGGAGCTGTTTTTCCTCCATTGTGCAAGCATGACAAATCATTAATTTTTGATTGATTTGCTTAGAATTATGGGCGCCCCAGCATTCTTTCCGCCGCTGAACAGCTGTATAACAAATGAATATATCAGTGCGCACAAAAGATTGGAGATCTAAGAGAAGCAATTACATTGGCCACCCTCCCCCACCCTTACCCCTTCCCGGGCAATGAAGGGAGGAAATTTTTACCAGAAATTCCTCAAGTGGCTTTTTAAAAAATGCCTTTTTATAATTGAATTAAATCTTTATCTCTTTATCTTTTACAGCAGATTTCCAAACACACACCAGTTTCCCACATGCTTGGGTTCTATCCATCTAGCAGAAATCTTTAATAATGAAATTTCAACTTGTGAATTAAAACCAAAACTGAAAAAAAAAAAAGAGGAAAAAAAAGAGCAAATTCCATCCCTCTTTTTTTTTTTTTTTTTTTTTCTTTTAAAAATTTTTTTGGTTGCTGCTATTCCTTTAAGATTTTGGAACCGTACCAGTGCACTAAATGTGACCTCCATAACTTTTAAATTAAGAATTTATGCTGGCTTGAAATTTATGAAATATTTCAGCATGAAAGAAAGCCTTTTTCCCTCAGGAAAATTGAGCAATAAATCACAGCACTGTGGATTTACTGCCCTAGAGCCAGCGAGAGATAGGATTTTTTTTTTTTTTTGCTTCATTCTGAAAAAAAAAAAAAGTAATCATATAAGACAGCTTAGCTGCTGTCCTCCCACTCTCTAGAATTTTTAATTTCAGCTGTTTCTGCTTGGATTTATTTCCAATATTCCTGCTCGGCTTTTCAATTTCCTCAGTTATTAAATTTTAATTCAGTGCATTAGCATTTAAATTAAAAAAGGGTTTATTTTATCGAAATCGTTGGCCAGCCCCCATCCCATAGCACACGAATTGCCTGTTTCTGCCATTTGCACAAAATGTGAAATGCAGCTAATGTCTTACAACTTACATTTGCACAAATTTAGAAATAAAATTTCTGGGTTTGGAATAATATTTTCTTTCCAAGAAAACCCTTAATAAGAGAATGGAAAAGAACAACTTAGCATTCATTTGGGAGGGAAGAGGAGGGTCTAATGAAACTAAAAATAGCCCTGCCCAGGTCCTGTGGAGAAGCTGGTGAATAAGGAATGGGTGGGGCTAGCAAAGGGGGATGGGCACCCTGGTGGGCTGGAGGCTTGGTTCCCTTTACCCCCAGCCACTAGGTGAGTCCCCCGCCATATTTCATTTTCTTAGAGGGTCTGGTTAAAGTTGACATAAAGTTGTTAGGGAGGAGGGGGTCTGATTTAACCCTCTGCCCTCACCCCCATTTTTACCTATGGAAAACCTCAGGTCCAGAGAAAGAAAAGAGCTTGTGAAGTTCGAAGTGAGCCCTAGACAGAGCCAGGACAAGACATCCTTTGTCACAAGGAAGCACGTGACCCTTTGGTAGAAGATGATGGTGTGACATAGAAGCCGCTGAATTTCCGTTACCTGAGTGGTTACTGCTTACACCAGGCATGGGCTTGGTGCCTTACATTCTGTGTTCAGTGTGGTTCCCACTGAACCTCGGAGTTGTGGTGATCTGTGGACCCTTGTGAGATGGGACTTGCAATGTGGGATTCTGGGCAGTCCAGGGTGGTTGGTGACTTGCTCACCTACTCTGTGATCTTGTATAGCCATTCTATCCTCCTGTGCCTCAGTCTCTTGGACACAATCAATGGTGGCCTCTGTCTCTATGGCTAGAGTTGTTAGTGGTTGATAGAGTTACTGTACAGACCCTAAGAATTTTTGTTTTTTTGGTACTGGCGATCGAACTCGGGTCCTTGCGCTTGCGAGGCAGGCGGCAGAACCACTGAGCTAAATCCCCGGTCCAGCCCTAAGTACGTTTACGCGTTCCCCCTTATTAAAGTTATCATAGGTCTGACACCAGTCCTGTGAAGTAGGTCTTAGGATTCATGCCTGCACAATTTGCAGATGAGGAAACTGAGGCCTTAGCAGCCCAGGTGACTTGCTAAACAACACACAACTAGAAAATGGCAAAAGTAGGACTCCGACCCAGCCTCTACACCCTGTGCTCTTCAACTTTAATTCATTTGGAGAATCAGGTCAGATTATGCTAGATAAAGGAGAGTTTGTCGTTTAGGTTGAATTATATGAATTTGCTCATATTAGACCATTTTGGTCTAAGACAATGGCAGCATCAGAGTTCAGGTTAACTCAAATACAAGGGATAAGCATGATTTATTTTCTTTTTTTTTTTAGCATGATTTATTTTCAAGGGCATGGACAAAGCCAGCCAAGTGTCATGTAGACCTCTACTCTTGAGAGTTGATGTAGTCAGCACCATGGGCTTCAGCTGCAGGGGCCAGGAGGCTGTGCCCTGTCATGATGGTGGGCCATGGTTGCCATGTGCTGTGATGTTGACGTATCCCATCTTGGACGTCTAGCACTGCATCCATTGTCCACCGCCATGCCATCCCATACCTGCATCTGCTACTAATGGAAGGACATCCCTCACCCTGCCCAGGTAGGTAGTCCTCCTGCCTCCCGCAGCTCCAGGACCCCAGTGCCACGCAAAAGGATTTGTTTCAACAACTATTGGAATATATCTAGCATTCTGTCTGTTTTATAAAGATGAGTGGAAAATAGAAGTTAGTGTGGCTGCCAGTAATACAGAGTGAAAGAAAAACAAGAGTGGAGATTGTCAGCTGTGCCAGAAGCAGAGCCTCAGATCCTCCCTGCCCTATGACAGTTCACTGCTCTTGACTTGGTCAACCCTAAGTAAAACTGTGATGGCAGAGGACAAAAAAAGGCATCATTAAAAATGCGTGAGCAATGGTAGAAAAGCACACACAGATGGGAAAGGAGAGAGATCATTTGAAGTTTTGGTACCAGGGATCGAACTCAGGACCTTGCACTTGCAAAGCAGGCGGCGGAACCACTGAGCTAAATCCCTGGCCTGAGGTTTTGGTTTCTTAAAGCTCTCTGGGTCAGAACTTCCACCCCCTATCACCCCTGCCTCTTAGGATATGAACATTAAAACAACTTTGTGTACAAGAATGCAAAATGTGAGAAAGAGGCTGCACCTGGTCCTGTTCCATTGGTCCCAGGGAAACGATGCACAAGCCACTTCCCATCTTCTTATTTCTTTCGTGGAAATCGAATACCCACATCCTATTACTTTCTCCTTCCACATCTTATATTTCACCCTCCCTATTCATCCTTTTTCATTTTCCTCATGTGGAATATGGGGCTCTGTGATGTCACCCCATTTCCCATTTGGTTCTCTTGAATGTCATTGGGAGATAAAGTGTTCCAGAGCTGAAGGGGAGGCCTTGGGAGTGACTCAGACCTGACCTGATAGCTGTGGAACTTTCAATAAATGACTTAAAGGCAGTGACCCTCTCTGTCTTTACCTGTGAAGTGGAAATTTTGTGTGTGTGTTGTGGAGGGCCTGTCGAGAATCAAACGAGATGAGGCATTAATGTCCTTCCAGTAGCACTTGGTGGGAAGTTACCCAGGGGAGGAATGCCACAGCCACAGGGGCCAGGCAGGCACTGGATGTAAGACAGGAAGAAGTGGCGGGAACTATGAAGAAGCAGGTAGGTTAGCTCTGGCTGTCAGTCTGTGGGGCTGTGTGTCACTGGATTTTTTAAAGTGAAGCTGGAAATCTTTGGGACAAAACCCCTTTACTCTATACGTTACTGGTTCTTTTGAATGAAGTCTGCTATCTGGTTTTCCCAGTGTGCAACTTCTTGTCAGCATGTCTCAAAGGTAGCTCTTTTACTATAGAGCCCAAATTCTTCATGCACAGTCCTGAATCTGAAAAGCTTGGAAACAAAAAGATTGTAGCTGATGAGCAGCAGAATTTGATTGGAAGGGCAATGAGGCTGCTTAATGGTCACCAGTCATGTGCCCATGTACGGTTGCTTGTGCTTGTGTCACCACTGAAACATCAGGGTGTGCAGTTACTGGGGCCCTCACAGACCCTGCTGGGGTGTTTCCAAATACAAGGCACGTGCAGTATTACCTTTCTAAACTTGGAAAATTTTTGAGTTTGTGAACATGTGCTTTAGATTTTCAGACCTGCATTACTCTACTGTGATTCCTCTTATTACACGAGTTTTGAGAGAGCGAGGGAGTGCATTTCAGCCACGGTGGTGGAGGCCATTGTTTGTCATCTTTGCCCTCCTTTGGCCCTGCATCCAGGTCTTCTTGAGCACTGGCCTGAGATTCAGGACTCCAGGTATTTGTCATTTGGTCCTCATGAGACTTCAGACATCTCCTTCTGTACCCAGAAGCCTTAGTCTCCTTATCTGAACCAGAATTTTATGATTTCTGAAAATTTCATTTGGTCAGCCCTATCTCTCCATCCTCCACCCCCAAATAAAAGAGATTAAGAACTGGCACTCTCTTGCCTTCCCCTATTCATAGGATTGGGGGGCGGTACAGAATATTTTAACATAATAGGATTTTTCCCCTCCAGTTGGTAGGAATAAATCTGCAGCTACTGTTTTATTGGAAATCCCAGCTGAAAATAAAAATGGTGCAATTCAATCTCAGATTTAACTGGTTACTTACTTTTCACAAAGTCCCCAAGGCTGTGTGGTTGCTAGGTTTGTGTTGGCAATGGGTGCTCGGCGGGATTTAAAGGGCCAAGCAAATGGGATAGGGGAGTGTTCTGATTCTTCCTCATCACTTGGGACAGGTTTTTCCAGCCTGGAGGAGTTGGGCAGGGGCTGAGGGCCTGCTCACCCTCTGTCTGAGGCTGGTGTTCAGCAGCGACTGGTGGGGCGGCAGTAGGGAGAATCTCTGCCTTGAGCCTTGGCTGATGGAGGTGTTTGGGTTTCTTTTGCAGGCTGACGGAGCCAGTGCGGCTGGAAGGAAAAGCACCGCAAGCAGGTATGCCCCTCCATGCTATTGGCACCCCTCCCTATCTCTGATCTTTAGCTGCTACTGTGGTTCTTACCTCTCTCCTGGAAGGATGGATGATCAGACCCGAGGAACATCCACACTGCCCCCAGAGGATGTGAAGTTGTGAGCAGTACTTTCCATGTGCCCTCTGTGGCCATCTGTGACCATCTGTGACTAGAATCCAAGCGTGACTCATTCTTGCTCTGGTCTTTGGTCACTCACATTGGGTCAAGCTTAGGAACAAAGCCCAGGTTGGGGAGCCCCAGTGCTGTAGCATGAACTTCAGGGGAGCACGAACTCCTTTTAGTGTTGAATTCCTTGGCTGGAGGGTCAAGTCCAGAGCAGGATAGTGAGATACTCTGATGAGAGTTGGTGGGTTGGTCCCCACCCTGGAAGCTAACAGTAAATGGGAGAAGAATGATCCCCAAAGGTAAGTTGGACCAAAGGAGAGAGAAAGGGATACTAGACCAGCCCAAGATGGGGATGTCACTGCAGGTGTTCCAGGTGGGCACTTGGTAAATGTCAGCACTGATGCTACTGCTGCCTGTTGGGCAGAGCAAAGCTGAAGCAACCATGTGACCTTCATTTGGGGCACTGGAGCTAGGAAGAAGGCAAAGGACAACCAGGAGAGATGGCTCCTAGCTCAAGCATAAAACTCAGAATGAGCTCTGGGGTTACTTGCTGGACTTGAGGGTCAGATTGTGAAGGCCTAGAGAAGAGTCTGCCAGAGTAAAGAGTTTGCACATTAGTCCATAGCCCACAGAGTACCAGTTCCTTAAAATGTCAATAGACTTTGGAAGGGTTCTTTTTGTGGGCATATAAAATTGGAGGGCATAGGGCTGGGGATTTAGCTCAGTGGTTCCACTGCCTGCCTTGCAAGCGCAAGGTCCCGAGTTCAATCCCTGGTACCAAAAAAAAAAAAAAAAAAATCGGAGGGCTATAGGTTAAACAAAGTCAAACAGTTTTCTTCGCCATGGGACTTTTCAGAGCCTTTTTTGTGCTAATATGCATGCCTGGGCACATCTAAGAGAGAGATGAGAACATCATATTTCTCAAACTTCACTAACCTTTGGATGTAGGAACCAGACCACGAGCTTGAACCTGACCAAGGAGTGATGAGGATGAAAAGTATAGACACAGAATCGGGTTAAAATGTGGAGGGCCAGGAGGCTCTTGTCCCCCTTCGACAGAGAGCCCTGAGTGGCTTACCTAGGTTTTATTTACTCAGACATGGGTACAAGCAATTAGAGTTACACAGGATTCATCTGCCTCCTACTCTCCATGGTGCTTGTCTGAATAAACAACAGGATCTCAGCTGTTTTTACTTTTCCTTGCAGCATGTCAAATGTTTACATGCCACCTTTTCTCTTAGTACTCACTGAGGGGGCCAGTTAGGCCTCAGTTTTCCTCTCTGGTCTCCCACATTTGGATACTTTTATTGAGCTTCATTCTATGAATGAGTGTTCCTTGGAGCACACTTGGAGAATCCATGGAGAGTGCTGAAGTTCTGTGGGCATAAGAATAATGTGTTTGGCTTTGTTTGCCAGGAAGAACACCCTGGCAGCCTTTTGCAGGGTGGATTGCAGATCATGACACACACAGTTCAGTGTGACCTGGAAATATTTTATGCCTTGCAGGTCTGAATGGCCTCTGACAGTTTCTCAACCACCAGGGTAGTATGAAAGCAACCATAGATAATACATAAATATGTACATAAATGGTAGTAGTTTGCTGACCCCTCCTAAATTGCCTGGAATACGTTTTTCTGTCTTCCTAGGTTAGTGCCCTTCATCTTGCAGGCCTCAATTCAGGTCCCCCCTTGGGGAAGCTTTCCCTGATCCCCTCACTCAAGGCACTGCCGGCCCAGCCCAAGACCCATGTCCTTCATAGCATACTTACACTCCTGAGTTATTCCTTTTGCTTGTGTGCCTTTTTTTGCTTCTGATCTTGGAGTGCTGGCTCTACAGGACAAGAACTGTGTCTGTCCTGTGCACCACCGTGGGCCTGGGCCTTAGTGGGCACTCACTGGATGCTGACGTGATGGATACACTGAAAGAAAGGAGAAGAAGAAGGGTGATGCAGGGACAGGGAATGTACGCTTAAATGGAGGGGCTGGAGCCCAAAAGGGTAAGACATTGTGGCTTGAATCTGTGAACATTGTGGTGATCCGTGGGGCGAGTGACTGTCCAGAGTGCTGTGTGCCCAGGACCCCTGCTGGTAGGTTTGGGTATGAACAGTGTGTGAGACTGTGGCCTCCAGAGCACTGGTAGTCCTTAAGGCTGCTTGCTGGTGCCGGGAAGTGTTCCTTGGATCAGAAGAAGTATTCACTAACTGTTGCTGAAATAAAATACCTTAGATACACAGTTTGAAGAAGGAAGGACTTATTCTGGCTCACAGTTTTAGTCCATGGTTGGCTGGCTCCGAAGCAGAGACAGCGTGACAGAAGGGTGTGGTGGAGGAGAGCTCATGGTGGCCAGACGTAGAGAGTCAGGGAAAGAGCCCAAGAGGAAGGGGCCAGGGATTTGATACAGTCCCAAGGTCACACCCCTGGGACTCAGTGCAGACACACCTCCTGGTTATCTCAAGCCAATCAAGTTGACAGTGAAGAGTAAGTATCACAGCAGTCAGGACTGGAAGGGGCCTGGAGTTTGTCTCATCTGCCCTCTCAGTATACATATAGGGAGAGTCCAGTTTTGGAGGAAAGGTCCTGCTCAGGGTCATATGAACAGTGAGTGGCCGTGTCAGGCCTGGAACCTGCTGTAGCTGAGTTTTCCCCCACACAGTGCTGCTGTGCAGAGCACAGGCCTAGCAAATCATGGCCTTCCACCCACGGTCCTCAGGAGCTGGCTGTGGCGGGCTCAGTGCTGTGTGCTGTGGACTCTAGTGGACCAGAAGCAAGTTCATTCATCCAGAAGACAAGTGAGTGGCTCTGTAGGCTCTGTTCAAAGTGCTGGGTCCACATCAGTGAACCAAGAGATGAAGCTCCATCCACCTCCATGACTCTGGGTCTTCACACTGAGCTACATCCCCAGTGGCCCTCCTCCTTTTAAATTTTGAGATAGGGTCTTGCTAAAATGCTTAGGCTGGGCTCAAACTTGTCATCCTCCTACCTCAGCCTCCCAGAGTGCTAGGATTACAGGCCTGTGTTACCATGCCTGGGCCCTCACATCCTCACTACAAGGATGTGGTCCTTGCCCTCACTGTCTAATGCATGAATTTCTCCCATGCCAGTGGATTGGTGTGAATTGTCAGAGGACAACCGGTGGGTTTTCCCACAGTTGTCATAGCTTCCTGAATCTATGAATTCAGTGCTCTCAGCCCATGGCTGCAGTCAGTGGGGGAAGAATGCAGAGATTCATTAGAGATGTCTGCCCATTCAGCAGAGGGGCAGGGTGGTTCCTGTGTAGTGTCTTTTTCTCTCTGTGACTAGCCTGGGATTTCTACCACATATTCTCTGTGGCCAAGCCCTGTGTTATTACCAGGGCTCTATAGCATACACTAGGAAGGGCCAGCCCAAACCTCTGGGTCATATGTGATTGAGATGTAAACACAGAATTCCTCTTTATAACAACTGCCATGTAGTCAGTGTCTCCCTGTCAGGCTCTGAGCTGCTTTGATGTATTTGTTTATTAATTGTGTGTAATCTCTCTAACAGCCTCATAAGGGAGGTGCTTGTATTATTCCACTTTATAGATGAGGGAGGGGAGGCACAGAGAGATCGACAGGCCTAAGACTGCCTCCTTGGAAGGAAGCTGTAGAACTGCTTGCCCAAGTATCCTTTGCCTGCTATGTGCACTTGCCTGCTGTACCCTCCTGCTTCTGGATGTGAAGTGTCTGGTTAACGTGAGTTCTAGGATCCTGGAATGGCCAGAGACTGTGTCAGAGCTTGGCAGCCCATCAGAGGGCAGGGACTCAGTAAGGTGATACTGATTCTGTGGCTAGAACCAACAGCATCCTGAAAGTTAACCCAGTGTGGCTGGAGAGTGACTTGATATTCTCATAAGTGAATGACACATTCAAGCACCAAGAGAACATTAGCAGTGGCCTTAGCTAGTACCACTGGTGACTTTGACCCTGGCCACATGGGGTTTAGGTCGGTGGCACTTGGTAGGGCATCAGAGCTCATTTAGTTCCTGTTTCCAATGGACTTAATCAAGGTCTTAAAGCTCCTTAAACTTAAAACCAGGCTAGAGTGCCGTGGGGAGGAATGACCGTGAAGGACCCCTGCCCTTCTGACAGGGCCTCTGCTCCCAGCCATGCCACAACGCACTGTTATTACACCAAGCTCTGCTTTCCTCCCCGTGCCTTCCTCTTGGCCCGGAACACACAATTTTGTTATTTCTCCAGAGGGCCTCTGGCTCAACCCCAAAACCAACAGCATGGGCTGCTAAGGAATTAGTGTTAAATTGAGGGGGACAAGAAGAGGTGGTGTTCCTGATCTTAAGAAACAACCGAATGTGGTTTGCTTTACTTCTCTGGAACCCAACCTGAGTCAGTTTTACAAGATAGTGATCCCACTCTTGAGGTTAACACTGACCTGGTGTGCAGGTTACAAATCACGGCGACAGCGGCGGCCAGACCTCACTTGCTCTAAGAGGCAGGGGACCTGCGGGACTTGAACTGTGGAAAACCTAAAGGAGATGCAGCTTTTGTACTCGGGTAAATGCAGTTGCAGGCTAGTTGCAGTGGAGAATTATGCCTTTCTTTTTGGCTGAAGGTTGTCATAGTGGAAGCACTACATAGATCACCTAGTCCAGCCCCTTGTTTTTGAGATCAGGAAGCAGGGATAGAAGGGGTCAAGTGGCTCACTGCTCCTGTGTATCCAGTTGCCTAACAAGTAAACAGGGTCTTTGAGCCAGGAGGTTGGGAGGAGACAAAGGTGAGATGGTGAAACCAAGTCTCATGCATTCACTCCACATATTGTTTCCCGAGTGCCTACCACGTGCTGGGCACTACCCTAGGTGCTGGGCCCACAGCACCGAACAAAACAGAATTTCCTGCCCACATAGAGGTGGTGTTCTATGGGGAGTGGGTCAGATATGGCAAATACCTAAACTAGTAGCTCTTCAGATGGCACAGTGCTGTGGAAAAAGCAGAGAGGGAGATCGGGAGACCTGGAGCAGGTATTTCTTTTTTAATGTGGGTAGTCAGGCAAGACATCGCTGAGAATGTGACCTGAAGGAGATGAGGGACAGAGCCAGGTAGTCATTGAGGAAGATGCATTCCAGGCAGAGACAACAACAGGTGCAAAGGCCCTGGGGCCAGAGTGTGAACATGCATTAGAGCAACAGGAACAGGCCAGCGGGGTTACTTAGGCCCTTGGAGATAGTTGTGTGGACTTTGGCCATGACTGTAAGATCAGGAGCCACTGGGAATTTTGAGCAGGGAGGTGACATGGTATGTTTTAGTTTTAAAAGGATCATTCTGGCTGCCAAGAGGAGAATAAACAGCAGGGGGCAAGATATTACAAGAGATGTTCCCGAGGGTTCATGACAGACAGGCCCTTAGAAAGTACTTTTAAAGGTGAGTTGCTGAAGGGCTGCTTACTTCCAGGCCAGAAGACGTACAGCCTCCTGCCCCAGAGCGGGGCAGCCTAACCCCCCTGGTGCACCACTCTCCATGACCCCTGCACTTCCCACTGTGCCTTTGGGCACCATCTTTACTCTCTCTCTCTAGTAGTAATGAAGGCCAGGCAATACCCACTGCCTGGTTCTGTGACCTTGGGCTGGTCGCCTAACCTCCTTCTGTTCCAGAGCTCTCATCTGTGAAATGGGCATTGTGTTAGTTGTACCTTCTCAGTATTGTCGTTGAGGTTTCAGTAATGGTGTGTATACCCTTAGCACAATGCCTGGACCATGGTAGGTGTATTGTACACATTTATTTTTATTTTTGTCGCCATCGTGTTGTCTGAATTCCAGTTCTTAGGAGAAGTTAATAGCGGTGACAGCTGCTTTATTGATGAGTGTCTAGTTACTTTTCTCATTGCTGAGACAAAATAGCCTATACCCATAGTTAAAAGAGGGAAGGTTTCTTGTAGCTCACAGTTTGTAGAGGTTTCATTTCATGGTTGGCTGGCTCCAAGGCAGGGTGGAATGGCGCAGCAGGCAGGAAGCAGGCAGCAAGCAACAAGGAACAACGGGAGCCCTCTTTCTGTCTTTTATATTTTATCCAATTTACCTGCCCTTAACAGGGGTAGCACTCACACCCTTAATCCCAGCATCACATCCTTGATCCCAGCATCACCCACCCTCTGAAAAACCTCACCCTATGACCACATGAGGTTTGGGGGACATCCAGATACAAGCCATAACGGGGCCTGCACAGTGAACAGGGTGGGGGCGGAGTTCGTGTTTGTGGCGCTCCCCCCAGGATCTAGTCACTCTGCCTTGCACTTTACACATACCTCGTTTGCTGCTCCCACCAGCCCTGTGAGGTAGTGACAGGTATCCTTTGTCTCCAGAAGCAACTGATGATAAACTCGCTGGAGGTCACCTAAACAGTGAATGACTTTGGATCTAGGTGAGCCTTATCCTTAAGCCAAGGTCTTTCACCAGTGGACCATTTAATCCTAACCATGTGTATAAGGCTGCATAATTCTTCAAATAATGTCTTCTTGCTGAGTGTTTTGGTTTCAGCAGCCAAATAAAAGTTCTCCTAAACAAATTGCATTTGCACAAAATTTCATAGTAACTGTCTGCCCAGCACTAGTCAGTGGACAGTTACGGCATTAGCAGAGTGAATTATTTGAGAATGGTATATTTTCTCCAGGAGACATCTTCATCTTAACTCTAGGCATCTGTTCCTATTGGTGGAACTCAGATTTGATGCCCAGAAAGGGCCATTCTCACCCTACCAAACTTCGGGCAAAGGTTGTTCACAAAACCATAAACTGCAGTTGCCTCTTGGGGCTCATATGCTTATTCTAAAGAGGCCAGTTACTTGGTGGGCAAAGTTCACTGTACTTAATCAACTACCGTTAAAGCTAGACTCTGTAAACAGGGAAGATTCTGGAAAATTCAGAGGCAGCTTTAGGCTTGACCTCTGGCGACAGCTGTGCAAATGAAGCCACCACTCAGGTACATCAGAGTCCACAAGGTCATTTTTACCAAAGGGCATTTGAGAGTGGCCCTGGAAAGGGAATTGAGTGGAGTCCATAGGGACCCTCTGCTCGGCCCAGCCATGCAGTACAAGTGCTCTTTGTCCCCTGTGAGCAAGTTAAACTCTTCTGGTGAACCCGGGGTTATCAGTTCAGAGCACACAGAATCTGTCCTTGTCCTGAAGAAGCACAGGCTTGAGTGGTCACTGGGAGGGCTGGCCATTTGCTTCTTGGGCCCTCATGACAAAGGCCTTGATCTGAGAAGTTCATGCTGTAACTTCCTGCGACCTCACCATCTGTCTGGCCCTAGTAATGGGAGAGAAAGTCTGACACTCGTCTTGCACTTCCTGCCGCTCTATTTGGAGCGTGACTGGGAAGGTGGGATGCCCCGCGCCCTCCCGCATCCTTCCCGCCTGCCTCTCTGGCAGTGAACCTGGCTGTGGTGTGTCGCCAGTCCTCTTCTCAGCCACGCCTGTCACTCCTTTCGCTCTCATGCAGGCTGAAAATTCTTCTACCTTCATATATGAAGAACTCCATCAGTGGCTTGAGAGCTCATCTTTTTCATAGTTTGACCAAATTTCTCCCCTTTAGTCTGGGGGGTGTTTTGTAGAGATGGGAAAAAAGAACCACCATTTACTTGATCCCTGCTAGGTACAGCTGTCCCTTGGTGTTTGCATGGGTTTGTGTCCAGGTCCCCACTGGATACTGACTCTGAGGAGGCTTAAATCCCTTGTATCAAATGTCACATAATGTGTGCACAGCTTTCCATATACTGGGAATCATCTCCGAGTTACTTATAATACTGACATAGTGTAAATGCTATATAAATGGTTATTCTACTGCATTGTTCAGGGAATCATGATAAGAAAAAAGTCTGTCTGTGTTCAATACAGATGCAGTTTTTCTTCTGAAGATTTTCGATCTGTAGATGGTTGAGTCTATAGATGTGGAGAGCCGACTGTGTATGGTGCCATACTCGGTACCAGATGTGCATCTGTGTTAATCTTCTGAACTAACCTTAGTGGTTAGTTTTAGCATCTCTGATTTACACATGAATCGAAGATTTGGGCAGGTTAGGAGACCTGGCAACAAATCCTACATCAAGTTCCTTGTCCCCAAGCCACTTGTGAGGCTGGACTGTGGGTGAGGGAAGCTTGGGCTGGGTGTCCCTGTGGAGTGCCGTGGTCAGAGCTGCTGGGCATCACACGTCATGGTGTGTTGCACACTGGGAGGACTGGGAGGTGGAGGGGAGGCCAGTTGTAGTGGCAGGAGGATGAAGCACATGGCAGGGACTGCAGACTATCTGCTAGTGGCATGGGTGGGGTGGGGCTGGAGCAGCAGTTACTCAGGAGCTTCTTCACTCTGGCATTCCTAGGAGGAGCTAGACATCAGACAATGGAAAGGGACAGGTGCTAAATGACAGCCTCAGCAGGAAATAAGGTTGGTGGGCAGAATGATGTGCGGATCCTGTTTATATGTCCAGCTTGAAGATGTTGGGACAGCCTCCCTCTTTCGTTGTGGAGCTCCCTGTCCTCTGGGGTCTGAATGGGACCCGTGTGTGCCCTAGAGGGTCTCTGCCCTGGAGAGACCGTGGGCATGGGCCCCTCGTGACCTCCATCCCCCCACCACCTGGGTCTACAAGGTGGACAGATGAGTGAGTGAGGGCCAGTGGGGAGCTTTGCAGAGAACAGTGCTAATGGATCAAAATTATGCCACTGCCAGACCCCTGGAAAACGAAGGCTGGGTGTCTGTTTAAAATGCTGTTAACGCTAATTCCTTTTAATGTCCAACCTCCTAGGTGCCACAGGACCCATGAAAGAAGGTCCTGGCTTTAATCGAAGAGCCCCACCTAGCTGAAATTTGGAGTTTGTCATTTTATGTGTTGCCAGGTCTCACTTTTCTCCACTTTAAGTTTCAATTAGCCAGGGAATTTACTCTTAATATTTAAGTCTTAATGCCATCTTTCTGAACTGCAGTACTACCCAGCATTGTGGCTGACTGACACAGTGCATTGAAGAAAATTAAGTGCCTAAGAATTATCTCAAACTAATGATATATTAATGCATTGTAGGTTATTTTGAGTTTCTAGACTGTTGAGAGTTGTTTAATAGGTTAATAGTTTTAATTTATTTAATCTTTTCTGCTTGACTATTTATTAAAATATATCAGTGATACATGACAGAACAAGAAGCACAGACAATTTGAGGGTTATTAAGGGACAGGTGGTGGCGTGAGGATTTGAAACTTGGGCGACGTAGTCAGGACAGACCCAGGCCCAATCCCAGTACTTCCAGTCTGAGATTTCACTCTAGATCCTCTTCCTCAGCTCTGCCAGGATAGTATTGAAGCTGCCACCATTGCTTCCATTGTGATTTCTGTCCTTGTCAGAGCAAACAGGAGGCTCTTCTTACCTAGAGGACATGCCAGAGCACCCTAGCCCTTTGAGCACATGGCAGGGAGAGCTGGAGGTAACCAGTGGGCACTGAGCCCATGCACTTTTCTCTGTGGAAGAGATAGAGCCCTCTGTTCCTGACTTGCTACTTGTTAGTATCCCGTATATGCCAGTCCTGTCTGGATGCTAAGGAGACAGAGGAGCACCAGCCCCGTTTCTTGGAGTACTTGGTGTTTAGTCATATTTGTTCATTCATGTAATAGGTATGTTTGTTTTTTTCAGAAGAGAAAGCAAAAATTATCCAACTGGTTAAAAGCCCAGGCTCTGGAGTCAGGCAGATCTGGGAGAATCCTGCTTCTGTCATTGGGCAGCTATTTTTCCAATCCTTGCCTTTCTTACTGTAAAATGAAAACTGCCTACAGTGTAAGGCATCATGTAGAACAATGAGGAGGTGCCTATACAACATGCAGTGCTGCACCTGACATGTCGCGAATACTTGATACATCAGAGTACCCGTCACTGTGCTCCATGTTATTTCTGCTGTTTGCAGCATCCCCACATCAACACCAGCCTCACCGCTACCTCATACCCTGACACGTTTAAATCTGGTCATCTTCTGATAGTAGTGTTCAGCAAACCTTGGAAGACGCCTGGCAGAGAGTAGGGTGGCCAGGCACAAGGCTGCTGAAGCAGTGGGGCATGGGGCAAAGCCCTGGCCTCTGGAGGTCTCCCAATCATGAGAAGTCCCTGGGGGAAGGGGAGAATTTGGAGCAGGGCCCATTAAAAGTGGGAGCAGCATTTCTAGAACCTCTAGGGTGACAGCCAGAGGGACAGCCAGCCCATCCCCTGAGCACCTGAGACTGTGCTAATCAGTGCTCATCCTGGTGACCCTGAGTTCTCAAGACAGGATGGTAGGGTATGACCAGGCTCCACTCTCTTGGCATTTCAGAAGGTAGGGAGACTATGTTATGTTTAGGAAAGTCTTCAGCAGAAAGGATGAGACTTTGACACTCAAGGAATAAACTTCACTTATTCAGAGTCAGCTTCCATGAAATACCTCCACCCATGTTATGCTGGGGATCAGACGAAGGTAACACCACCCTGTTCCGTTCACTAAAGTGGTGGAATCATTGACGGTAAAGGTGCTGGTGAGGGACTGACTGCAGAGAGGGTATCACATGGTGCCAGCATTGACCTTCCCTGGCTTACTTGGTAAACAGGCTCTTATTGACCGTCTGGCACATGCCACTGCTCTGGAGGCAGTAAAGAACAAGATCAAGCCCTGCTCTCTTGTAGCCCACATTCTAGACAAGGAAACAGATGATAAAATGAACAGAGAGTTAACAGCGGATGTTGGCTGGGTAAATATTGAGGAGCCACAAATGGCCCAGGAGGGACCTCACCTGGTTTATTATAATAGCATCTCTTTGGCTGCTGGTTCAATGTAGATTTCAGATCAGCGGGAGTGGGGGCTGGATGGGGTGGGGTGGTGTGGGTGGGGAAGAGAAAGAGAGACAGACAGACAGACTGACTCTGACTCTGGACTGGATTGCAGGAGAAAGGGGAAGGTGGCATGAACCAGCTGGTG